TTCTTAGACTGGTTTGTCTGAAAACAAATTATTTAACTGTCACGCCTTGGCTTAAGTAAGGGATAATCTTGTGAATTTTTGTGGGCAGGGGGCTTTTTTCACTGAAGGGATGAAGTCCCTCAATGGTTTTATTTCAGAGTCTGATGCAAATGATTTGAAAAACTTTTAATGCAATGATAAAAGTGCAGATGAATCCACTAACCCTGCTTTAACAAATTTCATCTATATATATGGCGATTTCTTTTGAATCAATGACCATCCACAGTTGTCATAAGTCATACTTATTACAGATATGAAACGTTCTCATCGGAAAGAAAATTTTTGGTCTGTAAATATCCAAATATGTTCCAGCAAATTGTTAAATGGTGAGTCGTCTTTATTATTCGTGGACCGTGGACCTCTCACTGTATGCCGCCTTCGTTAACCCAATCAGGTACCGAAAAGTACGACTTATAACCCATTTCATATTATATCTATTATAGACATACTTAAAGGGCTGTCGTTCTATTATTGTTTGGTAGGGAAAATTCACGTAATTTTTTTTTTAAATTTAGTTAGTAATTTTTACATTTTCTATTTCAGATATTGAATGTTGTCAGTATAATTATTGAAATATAATATGTGTTTCAACATCTTGATAATTGGTGAGTTTCTATTAATTATTTACTATCTTTAACTTTAGAACAGTAATTAGTATTTTGTTTACCTCAACCATACCTTTAAAATCAGATTCTATTGAAACTCAGGGATCATCTGTATGTAAAATATTGCCTCTTGATCATTTATTTTCACTTATCATTGTTGTTAGATTGTTTCATGTTCCAGTTAGAGCAACCAGAAAACACAGGGGGAGGTGTAAAAGTTATGTGAGTTTCTTTTTCTCATGCAACATCCCATGCAGCAGTAGAAAACTCTATCTGCGCTGGATTTTTTGTGAAATTATCTCTTTACACATGCATCAGAAGAATATTAAACCACACAGTGGTTCTCAGTTCCTGTCCGTTATAGAAACCGTCCATCTGGGTGTGTGTAATTGTACTGATAGTCGGTTAAACCATGTTTGATCCTGGATCAGTCATCCATCTCTAGAACGTCTAGTTAATCATGCATATTTTTGACCATATGTTCATCGAAACTGAGAGAGTTCTCATGTTATTTTCTTTTCTGCTCATATACCTGGTAAACTTGCCTGGTATTCATCAAAACTGATTTTTATACGCCCACATAAAATATCAGAAAAATCAAAATATGATTTATTGCCTTTGTTCTTAAATCGCCCATGAACACTCTAGAAGGTGCAATTCTTGACGGATTTTGATGAAACAAGGTGTGAGTGTTTGTTATCACCCAAGGATGAACTTAAAATCAGAAAGATAAAAAAATAATAAGTATGAGTTATTGCCCTTGTTTTTAAAAACATGTTCAAGGTTTAGCCCGTAAACACTCTAGAAGGCCCAATTCTTGACAGATGAAACTTGGTATATTATACAGTATCGCCTCAGAAAGTTCAAAAGAAGTGTATAAAGCTATCTATGTAATATTTCTAAAGAGGAAACTCCCCTATCACAGTAGGGATAAATGGGGTATTGCCATTTGCTAAATTGGATGGTCGGTCAGTGTGACACTCTGCAAGTGGTCATGTAGTAGGTGAGGGGACCACTTTGCTGCATGATCCTAGAAGGGGGTGTCATATGTCCTACGGCAAATATTAGAAACCTTATAAATCTGACATTATTCATTTTGTCAATTCCTTGAGAGGGTTCTAATTCACATTTGATACATACATGACACAGTTGCTGAATTCTGGACAACATCTGTAGGCCATATGCTGCATCTGTAGAAGTGCCATATTTTGCTAATTATAAGCACATTTGTTGGATAGATAGTATGGATGGGGTACCATGTTTTTTTTTTTTTATCATAAGTCACTCTTAGTGGGTGTATGTCACATTTTGCAATTATAGCCACGCCCGATTGGCATTTGTGGATGGCCACCTTTGCTGGACATAAACCACAGTTGTTGGATATTCACATTTATGACACAGTTGCTGAATTCTCGACAACATCTGTAGGTCATATGCTACATCTGTAGGAATGCCATATTTGCTGAAAAAATAAGCACATTTGTCGGACAGAGACTCGTCTGATTGGCATTTTATAGATGGTCACTTTTGCTGTGCATTAACCACAGTTGTTGAATATTTACATTAAAGTGACGGACAGGGCCACATCTTTAGAAATGACTAATTTGCTATGATAACCACATTTTTTAAATAAATATTATTTGTAAAACAAAGTAATATCTTTTTGTAAACTGGAAACAAGGTAATTTCTTTTTATATTGGGCCTATTAGTGTTGATCAGGCCACTAATCTCTAATTTTCTTTTAACTTAATTAAATTGTTTTTTTTTTTATTAACTTAGTTAATCATTTTCTTTTTCTTCCAGGTAATATAATTGGATGACATTTTGTACCTGAAATTGAGGGTCCACTTTTGCTTTTTGTTATATTGTGATACAAATGTTTGTTCCAATATGGTCTTTGCTCGGTTTCTATAAGTACCAGACTACTAGACAAGATGGTGCGATTGATGAGAGGTGGTGGAGCAAAGACCGCTTTGACTATTTTGTGGCATGATGAGTTTTTGGCTACAGGATTAAAATATTTATCTATTTCGCAGTATCATTAACAAAGTTTGAGTGTCAGAAAATGAGGGGTTTGCTATTGCAAAGCCTTTGAAGTAGTAAATTGATACAATCTGGGGCATAACTGTATTTATCAGACACATTCCCCTAATAGGTTTAAGGGATTGTAAGGAGGTTTTCTAAACTTTGTCTGTTAATCGGCAACACTGATGACATCAATTTGCATAATTCCAATTTCCAATTAGATGCTTTGGGTTCTCGCAATTCCAATAAAACTAAGCATTCACTACTGGAACTGTCAATTTTGTGATCACGTGATTCTGGTAATTTAAATATTAGAAGCTGGTTGTTCATGACTTCCAGTGTTTGTAAACAAAGTCAATGAAAACAAAACAAGAACGTCTATAGAAGAAAAACAGAATTAATCAGAGAGCTGAAACATAACCTACCCAGAAAGACACTCCTGAATATAAGAGGAAAAGAGCCGATGTCATTCAAGTTTACAGATACATTAGCAAACAAGATGTCTGTGTCAACCAAACCCTTCTAGAACTTTCATCAGAAAACAGAACCAAAGGATACTTTGTTGCAAATTCAGAAACCAGTTCAAATCCAACATCAACAAGGCCTGGAAAGAAGATAAATTATATTTACACCTAGCACCATGTTATATACTTTTATGACCAGCAACCAGTCACATTTCGATGCTCATCCCACAAATAAAAAAATAAGTCAGTACCAAGGATGACACTAAGCTTATCAAAGACAGACTAACAGTTTAAGTGACAATTTAGAGTCTCTATTGTTGACAGACGACCAACGGACCGACAGAAGTGGTGGCAATATCGTCCACATTTCCATGTAGGTAGGTGTATAGAAAGGTACTAGAGATCCGACCTCACAAGCAACCATCAGACTCTGTGAGACATTGGGGCTCTCTATCAGTGGGGGCATCTGTGACATATATACATTGTAGGTTTCTTCCCATGAATAGATGTTTGAGTACTCAGAATCTCTACCCTTTGTACAGACTAGGGGAGGAGTCTTAATGGTCAATTCCCCAAAACCTTTCCTCATTTTTAACCCATTTCATGCTTCTTGATAGAATCTGTTCCAAAATCTTATTGTCTTTTATTTCACTCAGTTACCATTTTAAATTTACAATAAAATTCTTAAAAAATATTTTACTGTCATAACAAGCTAGTTAAAACAAAATAACAAATTTATCATTTTAAAAACATTAACATTCAAAAATTGTCTTCTAAGCAGTTTTTCTTAAAGTATCTTCACATAAAACTGTTGTGGCGAATTTAAGATTGTAAGATTTTTATAAGACCATTATAAAATTGACTGTTATAGTGTTATACCGTATTGTTACCTAATCCATAAACTGACGTTGTTAATGCAACCCATCTTCACATTGACAAGCAATTACAAACTGTGTCTAATACCTTGACTGCAAAAGCCACCTTTCTTGTATCACAGAATGCAACGATTTGATCGGATTGTATGCAAGCAAAATGTAGGCAGACTATACATTATGGCATAGTGTTACATACTTTCTATGAGGGCTCTGATTGGCTATATTCACTATCGTACAATCCAATCAAATCTCTGTATTTACAAACTCCTGTGAGACAAGAATAGTGGCTATTGCAGTCGAGATGTAGTTCCAAATAGCTTTGTATTATCTAATTGGTATCAGATAGATACAATTTTCTTCAGGGAAATGTCACTGCATGGCTTTCAAAAGGAAATATGATTCACAATTTGTAGTTTACCAAAGATGGCTGAGCTAACATATAAATGAAAAATCCACAAGCCTATTAGTTATGTAACTCATAAACTAAGGCAGCAATAGGCAAGTATGACTTTCAACATCACTTTATAGGTACCACTATTCAATACTATTTTCCATTACGAAATTTCACTCAGAGAGGTAAAAACCGGTTGATCTTCCTATGGAAATTCACAATTTGTAACTCAGAGCCTTATTGAATGTCTTAGTAAGTTGGCAATTTGTAAGTTACGCTTCCGTAATAAAAGACCTATTTGTTTATTCTAGGGCAAGACTCTTTACTTTGGATATTTGTCAAGTGTTAGTAATATTGCCAGCCAAACTCTTTTAATACAGAGCACTACAGGATCTTTGGAGGCTGTTTGGGTCTAAGTTTAATAGAATCTTGCATGTTTGGTCACTCTGTCAATTTTAAACTTCTTCTTTTCACCATTGTGAGTAAATATTTTCTGAATTTTTCAAGCCACTAATTCCTTTATTGATAACAGAGTCTCATTTAAAGACGAGTTGTCTCTTTAACTTTCAAATGCGTTAATTTAATTCTTCTTTTCTGTACTTATCCATATTTGTATCTATTGCCTAATAAATTTCGACCAAAACTATACGGCATAGATTTATCTGCATCACGATATTTTCCCCAAGCTCCAAACGGAATCACTACACAAGTTGAATTGTCTTCAGAACCGAAATGTAAAGCTTCATCCACTAAGCTACTAGCTGCTTCTTTTGGAGATGGACAACTACTAACTAAATTGACCGTTTCATGATCATTTAAAACAAAATTAACACCATCTGTATCTAGGACTAAGAAAGCATCACGACCATGTTTGACCTGCAAATAAAACAATATTTGTCATTTTTACACAAAGAACTTATGAATAAAACTATTCTTGGATACATTACCTTGAGGATTCAAAAAATATTTTCAAGCCTAGGTAATGGTGTGGTGTAAAATTCCCCACCACCCAGTTTCAATGCTGACCTCGAATTGTCCACCAGTTTCAATGCTGGCCTCAAATTGTCCACCAGCTTTCGAATCAAAGTATTGGGATCTAGCAGGTGGTAATGCAAATATATAGAACATACAGCTGAGTCCGTAGCAAGTTGGATTATTGTCCGAGAGACTATATGGTGTCACAGGTTCAAATCTTTAGCAAGGTAAGAAACATTCTGATGCCTGAGCCAGTATTTCCAAGAGTTGGCTCTGTGGTACCTTTTATCCTGTAACGCCAATTACTAATTATTAATAGTAACAACTAACTTCTATTGATCTTATATGTGGTGTGGCCACGACGCCAACTTTTTCCAATTCGACATCACCTAGACTACGTGTCATGGCTAGACGTCCATTGACTTGCAATTGCCCAAGACTGTTCTCCACAATATACCCTCCATACTTCTTAATCCTTTTAGCTTCCTCAGAATATTCTGGACTATCTTCTGTTGATAGCCGTATAGGCTCCCCATCTCGACACAGTACAGCCCTACTGTCTCCAACATGGCCAACCACTAAATTGATACTGTCCTTCAATAAACAAACTGTGGCAGTAGTTCCTGTATTATAGATATCTGTATCTGAAATAAATGAAATGAAACTGGAGTTTTACAACTTACTTTTTGCCCTTAATTGAGCTTAATGAAGACAGATAACAATATTGAGTGTGCAATGAGAAACATTTTACCAAGAAAGATGCATAAGCCTCTTTTTTGAATTTTCAACTGTCTGGGATTTAGAAAACAAATGCTTAACACTTTCAACACCTCTGACCTGCATCACTGACAGGGGGTGCGGGGGAAATGGGTTGAAAAATCCAATTGTTTATCTCAAATTATGCAGGGATTGAACCCTTGATCTTCAGGTAAAGGAGCAAGTGTTCATCTCACTGAGCCCTAGATGACAGAAAAGACGAGAATAAAAAAGTTTGATAACCCAGAATACCTAAATTGAATTACTTAGATAACTAAGACAACATAATTGAATTGTCCAATCTAAATCTAACTTAATCTATGTTTATTTAAATAGTAGACCTACCTATTAAATATGTATTAATATGTCGACTTAAAAGATTATTGATATTTATAAAAGAATTGGTTAGGACTTCAGATAGACTGGATAATCTAGGATACCAATATAAGATGTGATTAACCAGATTTTGATGAACATAATCCACAGCAAATGCTCCACCGTGACCATCAAAGATAGCAAAATATTGTAAGCCAGGGAGCAATTCCCGTATATCACTTCTGTCTTCATTGGTTTTTCTTCTACCTAATAATGACTTATGGCTAGTATCATTCAAATTTACTTTAGGAATTAACCGACCTGCAAAAAAATATAATTAACTCTTTATCTTTCCTCATACATCCGAAATTTTAACCCATGTAGCGAAATGATTTACACAAATATACTACTTGTACATTACAGTGAGTTGAGCTTATCACATGCTCTCTCAGTTAAATATAAAATTCCATCATTTATTCAATGTTACCAAGCAAATGACATCATGGAAAGATTTCAACACTCTGCCTGATTGTTCTACAATCTGTCCTCATAACACAACAATATACCACGCACCTGTAGACAAAATCTTTGAGATTTTTTTCTCAACTGTTTGTCTTATTTACCTGTTTTGATGCTTTCTTCCAGTAGAATTGTCATATCAATTCTATTGTTCCAGGATCCAAGTGTATCAAAATTAACTCCTTGTTGTCTTTGACCTTTATTTTCAGGATCTGTGAGTGGTCTTGAAAAGTGTCTTGAAGATTTATAAAAACATCTGGTTTGTAATTTATTTTGTATAGATCTGTAATTCTGCATCCGATCCTCATTTTTTCGACAATATTTTCGTTTCACAGAAGAATAAGAAGAAAGCTGAATGCCAATATTCTCACATTGCCAGAGTACTTTTAAAAATTTTGGTTGATTCAGAAGTAAAACTCCAGCCGTTTTGTTACATTTTGACATGGTTTATCTGAAAATAAAAAGAAAATACAATTTGTTGAGTCTATCTTTCTATTCAAAACTAACTTTCAAATAGTCTATTTACTTCATCAGCTATCACTCTTTTCAGAATGCAATATTAAACATCCATTTATCCTCTGGTTACAAATGTTGAAATAGGTAGAATGATCAATGACCAGAGTTTTGGTCAAAGACAAGCTCAGGCAGCAGTAGGAATCTTGTGCAGTTCATACGTTTTTTTTTTAAAATCATCATTTTTTTCTCTATTTTTATTCTCACACTGTGTAGGTTGCAGTATGTAGATCTTCTGAAATTCATCACTTAATTAAAATTATTAAGACACTAGGCCTAGTGGTAAATACTATACAAAATCTACTACAGCAGTAGCCTATGTCTATGACAGGCCTCGGATCAGTTTAAAATTAAATACTACTTAAATATTGATCAATTACTTAGTTGTTAACTGCTTAGGCCTAATTGGATTAGTATTAGTAATACTTATACTTAAAGAATTAGTTGAAATGAATGAAAAATAAGATTAAAACAGATTCAAAATAAGACCATTAAACACAGAGTTGAAAATTACGGATTAGCCTAGTTCATTTTAGGCGTTTGACAAGGGATTCTGTACGGGTAAGACGTAAAGCATCAATGATAAGCTCATCTTACAAAAGCAACCCTGAACTTCCGAAATCTTCTAGGATATTTGTTTACATTTTCCCTTTAACTTGTATTGAAATCACTGGGTATTCAAGACCAAATTGAGCACTGTTATTCAGAGTTACTACCCTTAGACCACTAATTTGATGAAAGAATACATTCGGAAGCTTCTGATGGAATTATTTATAGAAATATCTTTTTAATTTTAGATGTATTTTTATTTAAGTACAAGAACGTCAAGAATTGTCCCAACAATTAAATATCATATTTTCAATTAATGACAAGCATGAAGGGAATTGGTTAATTTGTGTTTTGGCTAACTGATGAATCTGACTTCCGTTGCTTCGAAAGCAAAATGTTCCGATTGTTTCTGAGTGCAAGACCTTGACCCGGCAATATATAGGTCACAGTGACTGAGCTTAAGGTCAAATGACTCAATATCGTTCATTGAATAGCAGTTATTTAATTTTATTAGCTGTTTGATTACAGAGTAATCAGTATTGACATGAAATCTCTTTCAATGTAAATCGAAAACTAGATGCATATTTTAAACCGTATGGACTATGACGATTCCTTAAAAGGGCAGGTGCCCGCCATCATTCCTACTCAATAAACATTCCATTAAGACTCGCTTCAAAATTTGTACATGTATGAGGATGACGTTTTGGGCACAATTTGCAAGAATATTTAGTCCTATATACAAAAATACTGGTATTCTTTCAACCGGAAAATGTTTAAGGGTATTATAATTCCAAGAAATTAGAAAATAATGAATAAATTAATCGGGTTCCGCTTTTTCACTTGACCTAATCACGTATCGTGTCTTATGTATCACTCCGCATAAAATCGGTACCGAGAGACAAAAAATAAAACACAAATTCTTCAAATTATTGTCATAATTTATTCTTTTGAGTTTTGAAAAATATATTTGATAGAAAGTTAGACAATATTAAGAAAGTATATCAACTTAAATAATCCCTATATTTGAGACTTGTATTTTACCGTGCGGTTGCCATGTTGGATGAGAGCGCCCCATGTGACCAGGGAGGCTGTCGATAGACTTGCAAGGTTATGATAGGACCTGTCCCTTTGCATGCAGATTTTCGACCTTTTGATCATAGTAAATGAATTTTCGTATGTGTTTTGTTGACCCTAGTCTGCTTTAGTAGACAGTAGACTGATTGGATATTTTAAAGGCCTAGCCTAACGACCGATAAAAGGTAGGAAAATCTATTTGTAAAACCAGCATGCTCATTCCCTATGGCTGGACGCCATGTTACATGGTTATAAGAAGTCACGTGTGAATTTTAATTCAGTTTATTTCACTTGATCGATGTTGTTTTATGAGTTTTTTTCTGTGTTATTTTGGACTAGAAATATTTTGGCTTGGAAATCCAAACATGTCATGTCCAAACAAGTGAATGTCTGATTGGATTTTGTCCATTTACATGAAGGTCTCAACAAGCAGGCGTAGTCAGAGCAGTGGCGCCACCACAATTTTTCAGTACTGTTTTGTTTGTTGTATGCCTTTTCTGTGCATACAATTGCATTTTTCCCTTTCTAAAAATTGTGCCATAGTGAATTGTGAAACCTAAGGCAGAATTGTACTTAAATCTGGTAAGATGTATTAATAATAAAACGTTTTGATGAACCATTCGATTTCATTTGCACTGTGATGAAACAATATGGCCGCCTCCATAACAAATCGTAAACTTCATCTTGCCAACCACATAACAATAAGTTATGATTTCATGTTCATTATTTCTCAGGTTTCTTTCCTCACATATTAATCTTAGATTTTTCAGTATTATGAATCATGAACTAACATCATACAACTGGACAGGAGAAATTTTTTATCAAACTTTTTATGTTTATATTGCTCATTAATTTGGTTTTGTAAATTCATTAATCAAGCCAAGATTGCAAAAAGTACAACTGGAATTCCATACTCATAATTAGGCCTGATAATGTTAATTTAATATAATTAAAGAATAATTACTTTGAACATGTTAATTTGCTTTTACTTGGAATTTGAATTTTTTGTTAATTCACAACAAGACTTGTGTCTAATAAAAAATTAATAAGCTTAAGCCTATTAATATACAAACCTTTGGTGGTATTTATCAAGACCTCTTATGATATTCAAATCTACATGAATCAGTTAAATGTGACTTACAAATTTAGTATGGTAACAAGTAATCAGTAGGACCAACAATTGTCTTACAGATGACTCATTATAGTTTTCTAAGAACTTATTTGACATGGCTTTTGAATTTTTCTTACATTGAGGAAGATTTCCTAGCAGAAGACAATTATTCTTTATTTCTTAAAGGTCATTGTTCCCCATTTTCAGGGTTAGATTAGTGTCTTGAATATACTTAAATAATGTTCCGAAAAACTGTGTGGAAATCGCCTTCAAACATACCTCAAACTTGAAATCAAGAAAAAGACGAGTCATCATTTTAACTAATAATTTTGGATACACATGGATTTGAAGGCGCAAATTTGGACAGTGAGCTATGGCTAGTTGTCTAGCTTAACTAATAAGGGTAGATGTTTCTAACTTGTCCCTTTATGATAAAAATGTTTGAGAAAATTGTTTTTAATTGTAAAGGATGGTATAATTGTATTTCAGGTTGAGAAAAGATTGTTTGTTGATTGTCGGCCTGTGCCAGCTGACCCAATGACTTCTGATCGCAGTAGTACAGGGGAAGCTGACCTGTCCTTTGATGGCTCGGTAAGTTTTAATTCTTCATTTAAAATTTCATACACACATGCTTACACCACATGGCCTAGGCCATATAATATAGTTATCGACATGTAGTTTTAGTTATTTTCTTTATTCATCTATCACTCAGTGGTAACACTCTGTCTACATAGAGTACATCTCTGTGAGGGACGATGGTCTGTACACAGGTACTAGTATCCTTTAAATATTCCAACACTGAGTCTAAATTGGCTATTGAATCTTGATTGGTTTAAGAAAAAAATAATCAGTAAAAATGACCATAGCTTTTGATACAAATTCTAAGCTGGAAGAAAAGATGAATTTAACAAAAGATATCTTACCAAAAAGATCATGGACAACACACAAATAAACTAGTAGTAAATCAAAATATGCTTAACAGTTATTATCCCCCTTAAATGTGTGAAAGTGCCATACACACACCACAATATAACTTCATCAGAGATATTGAGGCCTGGTGTAAACATCCTCAGAATATCACTTTGAGGTATTACAAACTTTGTACGGTACTTAAACCTTGTCTGCAATAGTCTCTATTCTTGTATCATAGACTGTAGCGATGTTGGTTGGATTTTGTGCCAGCGAATACAGCCAATCAGAGCTCTCGACATAAAATCTTTAAACGTAATGGCTGTAATCTCTTACACACAAATTACACACTTATCCAATCAAATCGTTGCATTTGCAAACTTTTGTGATACAAGAACGGTGGCTATTTAAGACAAAGTTTGTAATGGTTTGACATTGTAAAGGTTGGGTGTAAGGTTAAGTGACTATCATTCATATTAAATCAAAGAATAAGTAAGGATTTATTCCACAAATCAAGGGTAGATTTCATGATGTCGCCTATTCACAAATGTCATAGTAAGCTTATGCTTTTGGTGATGAATTGTGGATGAACAGGAAGTCAAATATTCATTCTGAAAAGGGATGTATACAGCTTGACTTCAGCTTGTAATTTGCTGATAAAACAAATTCTTAATTAACTATAGCTCTTAATTTGATGTCAATTTGAAAGGTGTGATGTTGATGACTGGCTAGAAATTAATCAATATTGTTATATACATTACATGGAGAATATGGTTTAGTTATTTATGCTGTATTATTTACAAGTTATGGTATGTGATATGTCTATTGCATTGATTTAAACAGTTAAAAAAAATGAACTAAACTTAATTTGTGATAATCTATGTGTTCCAATCATCTTGTTGGTCAGTTAGTCAAATCTGTTTTAATTTTATTTCTCAAGTAGGTTATATTATTTCTTAAAATCTAGATTATATCTTAGGTTTTTTTAGAACATGGCCCTCTTATTGATTACAGGGGATTGATTTTGGTCTTTATTGTTCTTTAATAGTCTTAAGAAGTACTCAAACACACTTAAATCGCATCAAATTTCGACAATGAGCCGTAAAGACTATTACTGATTATGTAAGCTAAAAAATTTCTG